AGTATTTTGCTTATGAATTTTATAAATAATGTGAATAATAGCAGCATCAGTAGCAGTAGTACAAGGGTAATATGTTTGAGGGGAAGAAAGAAAAAACGAAAAAGAAAAACAGGACGATGCGAACCCAGAGAAAGAGAGAGAGAGAGAGAGAGAGAGAGAGAGAGAGAGAGAGAGAGAGGGAGAACGAGTGTGAGTGGAAAAAGAAAGCGAAAATAGAAATCAGTGCAAACGATATATATTGTCTAACTGTGTATGTTTGAAGCTTTTGCACAACTACCGCATGAACGGGTGAGCGCGCGATAAAAATGCATTACATTTATCAAATTATTTCAAGTATGTAAAAATGATTTAACGGGCTGCTTTTTTTTCGTTCGTACGTCGTGTTGCCCCCTCGACTCTAACTGTGTGCATGTGTGTACTGTGCCGGTTTTTCCTTTGCGAAATTTCCGTTGCTTACTGCTGTTACGGTCTTGTTCTTGCTGTGCTCGGTTTGACTTAGGTCTCACTCTCTAGTTTTTGGTTACTTCTGTTTTTTTTTTTTTCATTCTGGGGCGGCTAATGGTTTTCGCATATATGCGCCTACTTTGAAAAAGTATCATATTTGTATGTGGCTTTCGAGATGAATAATCCAAACATTTACCGCATTTTCATCTGCCTTTTTTATTTGATGTGATGCTCTCTTCACGGTTCAATGTGAACGATGTTCTTTTCGAGATGCTCGCCCATTTTTCTTCCTTTTCTCTCTCTCTCTCTCTCTCTCTCTCTCACGTTTGCTCGGCTTTGCTCCACGTTGTTCGTCTTCCTGTTCGTGGTCCTTTTTGGCTGAGATTGAATTTTCGTGTGTGTGTGTCTATATCCATCCCATGGAACGGATATGGGGAGAGGGAAAACAAGAAAAACTGCACGCATATTTATATTAAAATCAAACATTCAAATTTGTCGTCGCTATTTTTTCGTTGTTGTTGTTGCTCGTTACTGGCATTTACTGTTTACTACATATATGTCAACATTGAATGCTCGATAGCGTTTACGTACTGTGCAAATTTATTGATACAATCCCTGCAGCAACATTCAGATTGTGCACACATAAAAATCAATTTGATAAAAAAAAAGCGAAAGAGAAAAAGAGGCAATGCACCGCAATGAAATGTTAAAAAAAAAAACAAGAACACAACACCGAGAGTGAGTACGACGATCGACAACAAGAACATTTACAACTTGACATTAGGGGTTGTAATGGATTTTCGTGTGTGTATTTTGAGCCCATTATGTTGCCACTAAAGGTTCGTATGGATCCACTTAATAAATGTTTCGACAGTGCATATACAACAAAAGCCGTTCATCGACTGAATGATGACGACAATGGCGACGACGAACACCGACCCAAAATGTGCAAACAGTGGAAAAGAAAATGCACCAAATCGACCACAGCTAACCACAAAATCAAAGTTGAAGAATTCAATTCGAGCTGTTGCTTTTTTTTACATTCGTTTCGTCGGTTATGAAACAAAATTCGTAAATATAATACGTAATTATAACTGCAATTGGAGCTTATTAACACGTTCCGTTACGAGATGTTCGTAATGCTCGAAATATAAATGCGAACATAATAATGGCCATTGGTCAAATTATGAGTCCCTCGTGTATATTTCGATTCGTTCTCTTCGACCGAACAAGTCTCTCGTTTTCATTTTCAGCTTTTTTCTGCTCTCTCTCTCTCTCTCTCTCTCTCTCTCTCTCTCTCTCTCTCTCCATACGAAACAATGGCATCAATGTGCCGATTACGATGCTTTTCATTGGCCGAATGCACATTTGGCCAGTTGGAATGTGGTTTGAAAAACATTTACTTATGGACGCTATTCGATTCTCATTGATTACATGCTTCATATTAGCTGACCGAGGCCAGTCGAAGCAAGCGAACGACCGACCGAACGACTGAATGAATAAACGAACGAGAAACGAAAACCAATGACAGAAAAAAAGGAACCCACCGCCACACATTTACGATGAAAACACTTTGGTATTTATAATGTGCGATTCCGTTCAATTTCAAACATATTTTAACAGCTCATATAAATATTGCGGCGAGAAGTGAAATATGAAACCCGTCGAGAATTATGTCTTCATTATGAACTCCCTTCGAATGATTTTCGATGATCGTTTCCATCATAATTACCGGCGATATCAATAAAAACCTCAATATTACCTTCAATGCCAAACGTGTGTGTGTGTGTGTATGTGTTGAATGTTTGTGTGCAGTTTGTGCTTTTAGTGCTGTTTTGAATGTGCGTGGTGACGGATGGGGCAAAAGGCATTGTTTGCAAATCGTATAGGTAGATGAAAAACTATTGTTCGAATGTGATATTTTTATGGCTGGTGAATTGTTAGTCGAACGAGCGGTCAGGCAATGCATGAGTAAACATTTGGCCATGACTTGTGGTGTCGAAACGTTCTGCCTTTTCTCCCGCTAAATTGGGGACGAATAATAATCGAATTAGAGATTGATCGATGCCAATAAGTCTTCTAATAGCCATACACTTGGCGGTTTGTATATATTTTTTATAGTATTATTATTTGATGCACTAAACGCGCACTTATGCGACAGATCTTACTCTCGCTCGCACGTTTTCTGCCTGCAATCAGTCTTTCAGCATCTCGTGAGCATATACACATTGCCATTCATCCGGTTTTGTTCATTGCGCGATTTCCATTTGGTCATTACATTAATTACAATGGTGCTGCTTTGTGTTTGTGTGCAAAACGCAAACGATGGAAATATTTTACGTTTGTGTTGCGCTCAAAATGGGAACGAGAGAAGGAGAGTGAAACGCAATCGCATCCAATTAAGATGCCAAATAATTGAATATATCGACATATTATTTCAATTGGAGAAAAACCGTTTTTCCACACGTAAATTTTTATCGATATATGTGTGTGTGTGTGTGTGCATTTCAGTCCTTCCTTCCGACACCATGCAATGTCATAGATTTTATGTCGTTACTGATGTACTATAAAACAAACCGGATGGGCGCTCGCGCTCACACACTCATGAATTAATTTCATTGAAAAACAGCCCGCTCGCGCGTGAACGAACGGTCGAGTGAGAGTGAAAGAGTGAATAAAACGAGCGGGAGTGAGAGAGTGAGAGAGAGAGAGAGAGAGAGACAAAAAAGATCAAATAAAAACGGCCATTTCACTTTTGTTTGCTTTTAGTTGAATTTGAGTGCGTCGTGAGTGAGTGTGTATGTGTGCACTGTGAATGGACAGTATCAACAGTCGTCAATATTATCACATGAATGACACTTCATAATTTATAATGTGAATGTTTGTCTGGTTATTGAGGAGCGCGCGACCATTAACGCTTCACTTTAATGCTATGCAATTTTTATGTATCGCACTCTTTCTGTCTGTGATTCGAGGCTGGCCAATCGACTGCCAGAAAGAACGAGGAACTCCGTATGCGCGCATCGATGTTTGTGCTTGTGATTGTGTCTTGTGTGATATGTGTGTGAGTGCGCGCGTGTGTGTTTTCCAACACGAAAACCATACGGCTGCTAATGAACGTAAAATTCGTAAGGAGCATAAATTGGCATAAAATTCTAGATGAATGTTATGAACTAGTTTTTATATGATACTTTTCAATAAACTGTCGTCTATCAAATTTATCGACTTTGTTTTGTATTCGCCCATGTCTTTCTTGGCGTATTTTTTAATTCGACACATCTTTAGGGCTAACGGTCATAAGTCCGCTAAATTTGTCCATCCATCCATCTATTCGTCATTTTTTTCATCCATTCAACTGCGGAATGGATGGATGATGGATGGAAAAATTTGAGGACTTATGACACTTGGGAAAAGTTACCCTAATTCAAACGTTTAGCATCTATACGTTACAGGTGTGGGGGCCGTTCTTGTATGGAGCAATGAAAATAAAAATTCAATAGAAAATCTATTTGAGGCATTGCAAACATCATAAAACTTCTTGAATCTGATTTTTTCACCAAAAACCTAATCCTTGAAATTTTGAATCTAATCGAATGTGATTTAATGGTACCTCCCATACAAATATTGCCATTTTTGCCAATTTTATGAAGAAAATGGGAAAATTTATCTTATTGTCGTCGTTTTTTCGTTTTCAAATCAAAAAGAAAAATATTTTTGGGATTTTTATTTATTTCGGAATTTCGAAATTGTATATATTTTTTCACCAACTGATTTGCAAATATAACACGGAATCGGTTTCTAAAAATGTTCGTATGACGTAATCGAAGTGTTCAATTGATGAACAACTCTTGTAAGTGGTTGTATCGCACACATGCATTTCATACGCTATTAATAGATTGATCGATCAATTTGAAATTAAAATTGGTTTGTAGTTTGTCTCTGTACTTTACATGTTTTGATGCCATTGACTCTAGTACAAGCATTAACTCGAACGAACATTGAATCAAAGTAACTTTTTTTTTTTATCTAAAAGGAGTTTCATTTCTTTACTCATTTCTGTTTCCACTCTATTTTCTTAGCAAAAAAATTACATTTGAATCATACTATAAATTTTGCATAATTCTATAAACAGAGCAGTTAGGCTTTGCTCATTCGACCAGTTTAGATGCTTTCTAGCATTTAATCAACGAAGAGAATAAAGTTCTAAAAATAAACGCAGGGGCACATCGTGACTTCATTCGTTCCATCACTCGGCGATGCCTTTTTCAACTTGGCAAAGGAGGTTTATTTTTGACACAGTTTTTGAATCGTTCGCATCGATCTCGACGAAAACACTTCGAATAGTCGATGTAAAAAGACATTTATTCGGTTTGAATTGTAATTTATTGTCATTTATTTCCAAAAAATTGTTTTCAGTTAAAGATGAGAAAAAAATTGTGAAAATACCTGTTTGTACCCAAAACATTTGTGCTAAGTGCAAAAACAAGAAAAAACATTGATTGCGATAGTTTTTTTCTTCACAATTAAAAGCAGTGATCTATTTTAACGCCGAAAACATGGATTTATTGTGGCAAAAAGAATCAAATGATGCTGGAGCACTGTACATCGATTTATTTAAAGACATTTCTGCTGATTTTCGTGATGCAGTTGCAGTGATTGCTAAGTCGAAAAATGTCCATCGGATCGAAAAGAGCAACGAATTGTCTGAGGCATACCGCAATCAAGGGAATGTACAATTTCAAGAGCGCAAATGGTTCGAAGCGATGAATTTGTACAATGCAAGTTTGTGTTTCGCTGAAAGTGGTTCAGAAAATGTGAGTTTGGCTTACGCAAATCGATCAGCGTGTTTTCTCCGTTTGAGACAATACGAAAAATGTCTCGCCGACATCGAATTGGCGAAAAAAGCGCGCTACCCAGAACATTTGATGCAAAAATTGAACAAACGGCGCGCAGACTGTTTGAAGCTTATGAAAAGTGATGATCGTGGTGAAGAAATTGTGGCGAAATTAAGTTACAAAGCCGACGAAAACTTCCCAGGGATGGCCAACGTGCTGAAAATTGAGTACAATGAAGAATTCGGACGTTACATTAGTGCAAAGTGCGACATACCAGCCGGAAAAACGGTTTTGGTTGACGAATCAGCTGTGCCACCATCGCATGGAATGCAGCAATACAGCTGCTGTGCCGTTTGTGCGAAGTCTTCAATGAACTTCATTCCCTGCGGTCAATGTACGAATGCATTGTTCTGTAACAGCGGATGCGCCAATGTCAACAGCATTCACAAAATGGAATGCCAATATAATTTGTTCGATCCTGCATCAGATATCGAGTTTTTCGTGCGTTCCATATTTCTTGGCTTGAGCTCCTTTGAACACGTGGATGATTTCATAACATTTGTTGACGACACTGTCCATGATAAATCAAAAATGGTGCCGGACACGCTTAAAGATATGAAATCAAAGTACCGCGGATTTTTACAACTTTTCATTTTTTCGACGCCGGAAAACTTACCGAAATACCTGCAAAACGCGTACAAGATGTATACCATTTTGTTATTATTGGAGTCGGTGGAAAAACAATTCGATGCAATCGATAAAAAACGCTTTCTGATGCATTTGACACTACATCACGTATGCGTTATGGCAAGCAATGCGTATAGTAGCAAAGGAAACAAAACCTGCGTGTCGATCGTTCAATCTTATTTGAACCATGCATGCGCAGCCAATTTATTGTCCACTGATGATGGAAAATACGCGATTTGCACAACCGTTCGCCCAGTTCGAGCCGGACAACAACTGTTTGTTACATATTTCGGTGAATTGTTCTGTACAAGGCCAGTTGATTTTTGTCAAACATATTTGTTCCAAACTTACGGTTTTCAGTGCAAATGCGAGAGATGCAAACCGAATCCATCACTGATGAAACAACTGAATTTGGCATCGGATCCGACTTTTAAATTGGTGGCCAAGGAAATGCGTATACAACCATCGCACGAATTCGGCAAGAAAAAATTGATAGCTCTTCAAAAGAAATGTGTTGATCTGTTGAACCGAGTTGGCGATAAGCACTGGTGCAATGAATTGGGATTCATAATGCACAGCTATGGAAATATCTTCGAAATTCTACACACCAAATCTGTTGATTCTACATAAAAAGATGTTTTTATCTTTCAAATTGGCATTTTGTTCGAATTGTCATTGATTTAGAATTTTGATGAGCCCAAAAATGCTCTGGACATATCGCACTGAAATCTAAATATAATATCTGTAAGATCAAATCAAATAAAACATGAAACAATGAAGAGTGAACAAATTATTTTAGCTGTTTTATGCTGATGCCTCACCCATAGCAATAATGTTTTCTTAATTTTTTATTTCCCACCCAAATTCATAGTCACCGAAATTCAGCAAAAAGACAAAGGGAAAAAGAATAACAATCAATTTTGATATTTTTTTTAAAAACATTGTGTAATCTGATTTTATTTTAATTTGTTTTCAATAAAGATACTTTTTTCAAAATTCTGTTTTAATTTTACAAAATAATTTGCTTCATGTTCTATATTATAAAATAAACAAGATTTAAAATTAATGCGCTGATTATAGCCCCATACTTACCTGAACCATTTCATTATAGTAAATGAAATAAACAATATATTTTGCCTGTAGAGAAAATCTGCAGGTTGCAAAACGCTTCGACTTTCATGACAAGTCGGTAAGTCTGTTCTTCATATCAACTATCCATCCATCTATCTTGTTCCGCAGTTGAATGGATGGAAAAATGAAGAGTGGATGGATGGACAAATGTTTACGGACTTATGACTGCCAGCCATCTTGAGCTCAAGAGGTGATTATGTATATTTATTGCAATGCCATATTCGACAATAGCATCCAGTTAAACCGCTTTGCGTTCGAGAGTGTTCACTCACTTGTTTGTTTACTCGCTCTTTTCTCCGTATTTTTAATGGCAAGGCTGTTAATTTCGTATGGCTGCGACTATTTTCAGCTAAATAAAAGTGGAACGATAATGACGCATTGACTTGATTAGATTTCATAGACTCGAAACGACGTAAATAAAGTAATATCATTTAATTAGTGGCATCGATGACGTTGTTAAAAATACAATGAATAGCCAATTACTTTTCGAAATCGGAAAAACCTTTGCCGTTTGACATTCGGAATAAGGGATACTCTATTTTTATTGCTACTGCATTCCAATTTTTTCAAAGCAAATCGAGTGGTTTTTTTTTCTTGGCAAAGGGACATGTCTTTTCTTCGAAAATTTTTGGAAATGGTCAAAAATCCAAAGGTTCAAATTCTGTCCAAAAGAGGTGACGAGAAAAAAAGGAGATTATAGAGTACAAAAATGAGTGTTGAATGAGGCAAATCCATTAAAAGAAGCGATTTATCACAGGTAATGTGAAAAATTAGTATTCAACCATTATTCCAGTTAAGAAATCCATTCAGTCATAATCCAGCACCTAAAGTCCCAAAAAAAAACAATTCCATCAATGAATTGTGAAAAAAAAAATTGGATTGCAAAGTGAAAAGTATGAAAAGTAGTAAAATCGTTAGTGGTTTTGTAATCGTTAAAATATGTACGGATATGTTAAATGGATGAAATGCTTTGAGTGCGATGGCATCAGAGAGAAAAGCGATGCGAACACAATAACAAAGTCGTATAAAAACCGAAAATGTAGATTTAATCTTCGGGTTATAAAATTAATTGGTATTCTATAACACGTAATTTAAACCGTTTGATAACAAGTGGCTATTAAAATGTGGTCAGTAAGGCTGTTCTCGGCGATCGGGGTGTGATGTGAGAGCAGCGATGTAGCCGAAGATTGGGAGACCAACCGGTTCGGTTGCATTTGAATTCTTTGAGCGTGTTCATGGTACAGGCGGTCGATCTCATATATGTAACAGATATGAGGCCAGAGTGTGCATATATTTTACACAGAATATAGTCTTACGAGACATTTTGCACAGCCATTTGTTTCCAATTCACAGCTCACTATGGCTACAGAGCCATACGCTCTCTAACATTGTATATATATATCAGAAAATGGGATCCGATAATACCTACATATGAAATGTAACGATTCCAAGTGGCCGGCTCGACACTGGACATATTCGACAAACTAGTAATTGCTGGTGTCATGTGTATGCGTTTAGTGCATATAATAAAATCCAAAGTCAAAACATATACAATACACACAGACACCTATATCCTCTGATGTCCATGTGCGTGTGTGCTCAACAGCACACACACACACACGCTTATTTTTATTCGGATGTTGTTTTTGTTTTGTTTCGGCCGAAATTATCGTTCGTATTTAAACAGTTCGCATGGCATGTCGTACGTGTATTAAATTCTCAAAATCAAATTCGCCTATTCCGATATGATGCAACTGTTACTATTGTTGTTGTTGGTTGAATTTTGCATTGGTCCGGGTCTTCCGATTTCATTCTGTTTTTCACTCGGCAACTCTTTGGTCAGCTCTCATTCGCTCTCTCTCTCTCTCTCTCTCTAGCACACATATACTGTGTCGTGTTGACGCAAACCAGTCACGATAAGTTTTTGAAGAGTGGTCACACAGAGAGAGCATCCAATCGCAATGTGGATCGCCCCATGCCATTTGTGCAAGATTCTCTACATTTTCTCGCTCAATGAATATGCATGCGTTTGGTTTACGACAAATGCTTAAATAGAATATTTTTAACTATCCCTTCGAGGAATATAAATTAGATTATATGTTTATATCATCTCCTTTCGATTCGCATTTAATAGTTCATTTCTGAGGCTGTTTCAGATAGTGACGATGAATAGTACGACCACAACACTTGGACGATGTGATAAATACGATGAATGGCCAATGGCCAACGCTTTATAGACGTGAGCAATTTGAACGATAGAAAATGGAGTAGGAGCGAGCCAGCGAGCGATAGAGAGAGAGAGAGAGAGAGAGAGTGAAAGCAAAACGACAGCGACCAAAGATATCGAACATGATATGGTTAATTAATTGAAAATTTGTCAGAAAAAGATATTTGAGCCGAATGGATTCGGTCAATTTTGTGCTTTTCGACACCATTTTCTGGGGCGCTCATTATTGCTGTTATTATTCGTGTTGTTGCTGTGCTTGGTGCCAACGAGCCGCTCGACACTGTTCCACACACAAACACACACATATTCATAGTGATTCTTAATCGGTGGTGAGCAAATCGAAAGCGGGCGCTCCAGTTTGGCTGGCTTTGTGGCGACAAACGTGTACATGTTCCGCATCACGTTTGCAATCGCTTAATGGGAGAACGTGTAATTTAGGAAAAATGAAACTGGCTCTGGCAAACGGTAATATACACGACGCAGTCAGACGATGTCATCATCTTGGAAATGGTGAGAACGAGACCAAGTCAACGAGTTATACTTTGAAATGTTATTTTATTTGGCCCCAAAAATGTTTCTAATCATTTCAAATCTAATGCGTTCGATGCTTTTTGAGCAGCGATTTCTTCAGCCGCACTTAAAACTCTTTACCTTTTTTCCTCGTCCTTTGCTTATGCCATTTAATCCATTGACAGAGAAAATGCGTCGAAATCGCTCAAGAGCGCTGTGTGTGTGTGTGTGTTCGTCGTGGAATTTCTTCCAATAAAGTGAAAGCAATTAAAAGTTATTATTGGACTTTTGGCTTTTCTCGAAATTAATTCTTAATGGAAACGTGTGCGCGCCATCGCCCTCGCATAATTGATATCAACAATTTGTGACAACATAATTTACAATGCAATATTCAAATACACACACTGTGTCGCACACGTTGTGAAGCGATTCGATGCTGAATGCTGTTGGCAAGAGACGACGGAACAGGCGAAATGAGCAACGATGATCCTGCAAAATGGGAAAAAATCGAAAAATAATTCCTGAAGTGAATTGTTTTACGAGCAAACGAATCAACGACGAATTAATCCGTTGATTTCATTTAATCATACACATATTGAGATCGAGTTGCCAAAAAACAAAGCAACGTATACACAATTTGTACGCGGTTGCAATTGAGTTTTTTTTTTCTTCAATCCGTTTGCTGTACTTTCCCTCCGTACCCTTTGCTTTTACTTCATTTCTACTTCGACTTGAGTTTTTCTTCCTTGCCTTTTTTCCACAGCAGCGGCACAACTCTCAACCGCGAGTGCTCTCCGATTTTTTATGGATTTAACGTTTTGTGATTTAAAATGTACGGATTTGGTGACTCTTTTCCTATTTGTTGACTCCGGCACTCGGTGGAGTAAAATACTTTTCGAAGCATCGCGTGTAGATTATGCTTAGGAAGGTATTAATTAAAATAAAATCCGTTGACTGTAAAACTTTCACCCATTTAACCAGCACTTAGGCTATTAAATCAATGATTTCGAATCACGTTGAAAATGACTTTCGCTCTCTTTCTTTCTCACACTTGCGCTCGCTGTGTCGTTCCGTCGTTCTAATTCATTTTGATTGGACTGTGTTTTGCGCGCGTGCCAAAGTCATCTTGTAGCGAAAATGAAAGAAATTCAGAACAAGATTTGGGAAAACGCGCTGCGGTGACAGTGACAATAATTGTTGCAAGCCGTTATCTTTGACTTTCTTTGAGGTCGGGTTACATGCTCGGTTCGCTATGAGGGCGAAACAATGAGCGCGCTTCGTTTCATAAATTCTCATTCGAATCCCGTGAATATGGTGAATTTGAAGTAAACATTAAAAATAACATGGCAACAATATACGAAACACGAAACGCGGGCAAACACAAGAAAAACTCACAATCTCCAAGCATATATAGTTCTTTTATGATTTTGCTCGATACGTAAATTATTTTCATTCGCTCGGTTTTCCATGCAAATCAGTTAATTTTTCAAGCAATTAGCCACATTAGTGCGACAAAGTTGGAATTTGCCGCTTATTGTCTAATACAAAATCCAAAAAAGTAAAAATGATTAAAATTAAATTCAAAGCCAGTGGATTCGGCTTGGATGAGCTTTTGGAATGAATTTTTTTTCGAAGAAGCAAAATACAGGCAGCTACCAACATGAGACACTTGCTAATTAGTTACTTTTGTCGATTTAGTAGCAAACAAAAAAATCAGAGGAAATCTGCCATTTCAAAGCCAGCAAATGTCTACAATGTTTCT